AACTATAAAATATAGTGAGATTATAGTTATTCCAACTATTTTTTTTTTCTCAGTGTAATTTGCTACATATGGACAATTAAATATAATTCGCTGTGTTAGCTAATTTTTCTTTGCTGCAGGAACTTACACTGAAAGAAAAAAAATAGTTGGAATAACTATAATCTCACTATATTTTATAAGTCGTTTTGGCCTCAGATATTTATAGTTCATCTAAACATGAAGATATAGCAGAATGAACAGATTTATAGTCACCATCTTATTACTCTAAGTGTATAGTAAAGCACGCTTTGGGAATATAGTTACATGTACCTATATTTGCCAAATATTCCAATTGTATTGACTATATAAAATAGTTAATTTCTCTTACCATTCAATATTTGCTACCTTATTATATTTTTTATTTCAAATAATTATAATTCCTAGTAAAAGTTTTACATGGGTTAGTTATACTATGCTTATATTGAAAAATATTACAAACATTATATTTCTGATATATACTATAAAAATGATATTCCTAACTATAATCTTTTTACTATACCATTATAGTTCGAAATATCATACATTTTATCTCAATGTATTTGCTATGATAACAAGAAAGTCTGCTCCTACAACAAGAAAAGTGGCTAACGTAGCAAATTTGCTACAGATAGACAACTAAACATAATTTACTGCTTTAGCTGCTTGTTTTGTTGCAGGAGCAGATTTTCTTGTTATCATAGCAAGGAAATTGGCTTCTGCAGCAAAGAAAAAGTGGCTAATACAGCAAATTATGTTTAGCTGTCCAGCAGATCTTTTTTTTCGTGGCATGCGAGAAAAATCTCCATTCTTCGATCGTCATCTCAGCACGCTGTATGTGTCCGTGGCGAGATGTGAACACGCTCTCTTCTTGGACGAGTCGAGAGTTTCGCGAGTTTCGTTCGAGTCTTCCGTCATTTGCATATCTCGCATCTCAATTGTGAGGAAACACGGAACAGTATCATACGGGGAAAGTGTAAATCACAGAAGTGAAAAGCCACAGCCGAGTCGCCTCGTGACACAGAAACATTGTTAATAAGTTGCCACGCACAAGGTAGCCTCGTTACCTTGTACGTGATTACGCTGCAATAATGACAAACTCGTTTGATTCGAGTACAAAATCATCAATTCAGCCGTAATCGAGATAAAAATATTCCCGACAAATAGGATCGAGTCTTCCGTGCGAGAAAGAGGGAGAGAGAAGGAGAAAGAGAGAGAGAGACAGAGAGAAAAATTGTCTTTGTTTCCTGAAAGACATTTTGCCGCGAGAAGATATCGGGACCGTTTACCAGTATGATCGGATAAAAACACGAGTAAAACAAACGTAAGGACTACAGTTATACAATCGGAACAGCGTCGACTTCTTTGGAAGGGATTCCTCTATAATCATAGCTCCGCACGAAATCCGATCCGCATTTATACTTGTTGCCGGGAAAGTTGTTACGGATCAGCGCTCGTAGTTATGCCTTTTCCTTGTAAATCGCGCGATATATCCGAGCTGTCCGTAAGGTTCGTGCCGCCCTTGCTGAATTTTTCGCCGGGGAACCCAACGGGTTTTCCAGCAGGATGGAATTGATTCAACGCTAGCGTGAAAGACAGCCGCGGGGGATGCTCAGCAGGGCGAGACTTTAGCACGCAATTGAGTGAAGCATATTTTCGCGATATTCTTCCAAAAAAAAAAGGAAAAAAAGGGTTGGCACTCCTTCGGTTAAGATTTGATCTTAATCTCTAATTCTCTCAGTTACATACACTGTAAAAACTGATGTGTTAAATTTAACATTTCGTGTGTCCCAAATCATCCCCTCTCATTTATGTGTAAATTTAACACAAATGTGGTAAAAAGTAACACGCATGATATGTAAAAAATTAACACAAGAATTAAACATTTGAATACCGTTAGGAATCACAGGTTGTGTTAAATTGACATATTTAATATGTCAGACATAGATTATGTCAATTTAACACAACCTGTGATTCCTAACGGTATTCAAATGTTTAATTCTTGTGTTAATTTTTTCCATATTATGCGTGTTACTTTTTAACACATTTGTTTTGTGTTCAATTTGCACATAAATGGAATGTGGATGATTTGGGACACATGAAATGCGTTAAATTTAACACATCAGTTTTTACAGTGTATCCGTGTCCTTGATAAAAAAAATATATTTGCGAAATAATTGCTTTGGCGGATTGAATATGTGAGATTCGCGAGTTTACAAAATTCACAAATTTGCAGACGGGGGTGCGACTGCCGGAGGGAGCGAGCGCGGCTCTCGCGAAGCCGACAAAATACCACTACTACCCGCACAATCAGCATATCTACCTGCTACCGGAGTGCGCCGTTCAACAAGTCTGCAATGCCGTTTACGTTAGGCTGAACTTCACGCAACCTCTGTGCGCCTGTCCCGGCAGATACCGGGACCCCTGCAGCGCATCCTTGGACAGTGACGATCACCACACGACCGAGCTGGTAACCGACCCACGAACCAAGGTTAGTGAAAACGTCGAACACGTTTTTTTAGCGAGAAAGAGAGAGCGAGGTAGAGAAACAAGTCGAGATAAGGTAACCCTTTCTCTCCATTGAAAACCTCTACGAGCCAACTTCTTGACAAATTAATTAATAATCATAAGGTAAATGTCCCAATAATTAAACTTTGTCCCTTGATGGAATCATTAAAAATATTTAAAATTATTTGTATTTAAATATTTCCAAAAAAGTCTTTGAGATTTTGTCAAAAGATATTTCTTTATGTCTTCCCAATTTGTAATATTACTTAATGATCATTCTAATTACTAAGTCTGTACTAAGTACTAAGTACTAAGTACTAAGTACTTATTCAATAATTAGAACATGATTCATTTTTTAGTTCAATTACTGACACAACTGACATCATTTAATATATCTTATTAAAATTATAATTGATATAATCGCTGACAAACTAAGATTCTAGGTAAACGTTAATTTTCTTGTAATTTCACTAGTTACTTATTAATAAAAATGCAAAACTGATTGTGCGTTCTTATCATTGGAACATTTACCTTATGTCTGTCTTTGTTTTTCATTCAACTTAGACAAAAATAGATATATGTTTTAACTATGAGTTAACTTATCAAGAAGTTGCAACAACCCGCACTACAATTTTAATTTCTAATCATTTAAACACGTAAATACTTATTACTGGAAGGGGAAGAAAAGATCCATAGATATTTCACGAAAGATTAATAAAAGAAAAAAAAAACAGTGAAATTTCATGGTCAGTCGATACAATTTTTACGCATTGTAAGCCACAAAATCACACCTGATCGATATATCATTTTATTTTAACCTCTTCAGCGCCTAATTTTCTCACAAGTAAACCTATCCGAAAAGGTACACTCCGATTTCTTTCTAATTTGGCACAAATGTAGAAATATAA